GCTCGGGACGGGCTGGGCATCGGTCGGTGGGTGGTGAGCAATTGCCTTGTGCCTCATTCGTTTTGTATATTCTGTATATTCTGTTATCATCCTCATTATTATTATTATTATTATTATTTTCTCTTATTAAACTGTCTTTATCTCAGCCCTCGGCTCTAACCTTTTATTTTCTTTCCGATTCTCTCCCCCATCCCACTGAGGGGGGGGGGGGAGTGAGCGAGCGGCTGCGTGGTGCTGAGTTGCCAGCCGGGTTAAACCACGACAGCAAGTAAACCAAAAAATATTAGAAATGGTAACAATACAGTCTGTTTAATCAAATCAGATCTGATTACTACAAAACCATGCTACGGACAGCCGCTCGGCTCGCACGGATGCTGTGGAGCCTTCTTGCCGTGTACCCTTACAACTGCTTTTTAAAAACTGTTTGTCTAAAGGACAGCAATGGAAGACGAGTCAGGATTTAATGACGGATTTCAGACAGAAGGGCATACATACATTAACAGATTCAACCTTCAGCACACGGGATTTCGATAGAGTCACAGAAAGTTCCCAATCTGAACAGTCTTGAACCACTTCCAAAAATTCCAATGGCTTTTTTAATAGTTCCAACAATTAATGGGTATATATAAAACGGAGATGGACTTCTCCAGCAGAAGAGTTAGGACTCTTCCAGGCTAATCAGACCACTGGTAGCGAAGGGAGTTGATTTGACTTCCCCCACCTTCCCACCAGTCCACTAAAGCCTATGATTTATTAAAACCTTCTCGATTTACTGATTAACAGGCAAAAGCTGCAGACTGTGTCAATCATAGTGGATGGCAGTGTAGAAGATTATCCAAACAACCTGTGGAGAGGAAAGGAAGTGAAGGTCATTTTGGTGCCTCTGGGGAGGGTTCAGACACAGAAAACAAGCCTGGCACCTGGCTCTCGAGAGAGGACTGGGGACTGAATTCTAGCTGGGAGATGGTCTAGGAGAGATGTTAGGATCACCACTCGCCACAGATGGTGGCACTCAGCTTGCTTGCTTTCTGGGACGACTAGCCTCTCCCTGTTCAAATCCCACCACACTCCCTTGGTGATTTAGCAACACCACCAAATCAAGCGCTGAGCATATTCAGAGATGTGGTGGGAGCGGGCGGTAAGGGAAAAAACAAAGACACTCAAACCACCAGTTTGGGTGTAACTAGCTCTAGCTGAAACTCCCCCAGGATATCTGGGGCAGAGGATGGGAAGACATAAAAGGTAAGTGGTAGACGCAGAAGTATGGCTGCCTGTTCCTACATCCGTTCCTACACAGAAATCCCAGCCATTAATGCTGTATTTCATAGCCAGTAGCCATCAGGTTTGGGGATTTTCTTTCCCAATCAACTCCACCTATTGATGATGTTACCACATTGCTCTCCTATCAGCACACCACCTCACCTGCTTTTCTTCCAGGTCTTTTTCCCTCAGGAAGTGTACCAACATAATTCACTAATCAACTTAAAGAAAGCAAGAAGCATTACCAGGAACAGTGCAAAAGATGTCATGAAGCCTTCCTTTGTTAGCTCCCACGTCCCGCCATACTCCTCCTCATCGATCTGCTGGAAGCTACTGAAGTAGAGGTACAGAACACCAGCGTTGATCAGGCAGAATCTGGAAGAAAGAGATGAGGAACTGTCATTTCAGTGACACAGGGTGCAGGTATCCAACGTGCCATACAGCAACATCGCAGCAAAATGTCTTTCACCCACAGCAGAGAGGAAGCAAAGAGGGGAAGCTGTTCCTGCAGTGCTTCCCAGGCAGCCCAGCTACTGCTGCCCAAGAGCACCTCCAGGTCAGCCTGCTGTAGCATGCCAGGTTTGGATGACGTTCACCCCACAAGGCACAGCCTAGTAAGGCTCAACAGACAATAGTCAAAAGCGGGAAGTATCAGCAGACTGCAAACCCTGCAAGTTTTCCTAACCTGCAGACAAGCAGTCCCGCTCCCACACAGAATCCAATCTCCTTGCACGTGCTACTTGATTTGGAGGCTGCTAAGAGGGAAGGCTGTCAGGCTCTGCCGAGTGTTAGGTCCCTCTCAACGTTCCATGACCAAATGCAGCAACTTAAGAGAGCCAGAGAAGACTGGATAGCGCCTTTAGAGCCACAGCACTGGGGTTCAGCTTGAGACAACTCTTAGTGCTCTCTAGTCTGTGCCAACAGTGATGCTGCCACTGAGAGAAAAACCGTGACGTCCTGTTTGTCCTTAGACACATCTGGCTTTACACCACCCCAGTTTCGGGCTGGGGCAACCTGGGAAGCTACAGGTACATTTCCTGGAAAGAAGGCTGGGTAGGAAGGGCAATGCAGGATGACACAGGGGAAATGCACACACAAGTTCAGTGGCTGACAGCAAGCTGCAAGGGGCTGTGCAACTGCACACCACAGAGAAACCACGTGCACAGTTCTAGAAGCTCTTGGTTTTTCCACCATACACCAAATCACTTTTCTTTCCTATTCACGTTTAGCACAGGGGCTGGCTTAGGTGCCTGAAGGTGCCTTGTGAGTTAATGGATGGCCAAGTAAGAACAATGCTTCTCAGCTACCTCCATCTGTTACTAGCAGCACTTTAGGTTTAACTGTTTGCATGTAGCTACCAAGTTTCTGTTGGAGCATGGCTGCTTTACAGCCCTTTTTTCCTAAATTTCAAACTTTCTTTTTTTTCCCTTAGAGACACTTGCTGCCACTTTCTTGCCACAGCCAGGACGCTCAGGAAGAGGGAAAAGGTGATAAGTCAATTTTGCTAAGAAAAGCTGAGGTTGTGAACTTGACCAGGAGACCTCAACTAGGCAGAGACATTTGCAAGAGGAGCCTCCCCAGAGTAGACACAGCACCTTCCTGCACCCGGTGTTCAGAGAGCAGGGCTGCATTTCCCAGCTCTGGTGTCCCTGCAGAGGCTTTCAGGCACATGCCAGGGCCCAACAAATTTTTGTTTCATAACTCAGAGTGCTCACTGCAGCCTTCAGAAACCTGCCGGGAGGTGACCCAAATCCCATGTCTCGGTGGGGATCCGACGTGTACAGGCCCTTCCAGTGACTGCCTTCCCGCCTGCTGAGGCTGAAGGGACAACCGGAGTGGGCTGGGAGCACTGCAGGAGCCCTGCTGATGGTGCTGCTTCACCCGCTCATTACCTACAGTCTTCGGTGTCTTGAAGAAAGCCTTTCTCTTTTCAGAGAGAAGCTGCCCCTCTTGTCTACTGAGAGAAGCTTCCCACTGAGGAGGGCTCTTGACTCAAAGGACAACCACACCTACCCCTCTGCGGGCCTCATTTCTTAGGTGGCCACACTGGGCACCAAACCCGTAACCCCTGTTCACAGGTGCAGGAACAGGCCACTTCACAGCTCAACTGAACCCCTCCTGTTCCCTTCTTCTACCCTTGTCCCCTTGAATAATAAAAAAAATAATAATAATTTCAAAAAGCATTAATCAGGCTGAGGAGAGAGAAAGAGGCTGAAGACGACATGTTATGATTTGTAGGGATTTTGTGACAAATAACAGTATGGAATGCAACACTGGCTTTACAATGCGTGGCAGGCAAAGGCTGCGTTCGGCCAACCCGTTGTTTATAGCACAACTTTAACCAGACACCGAGTAAAGTCCAAATGTGGGAAAGTACATGAGACAGAAAAGGAAATAAACCTTACACTGCTATTCCCACGAATCCCTTCAGTGGAACTACTCCCCAGATGATTCCCAAAATAACTGCAATGATCTGCCGGAACCAGTAGATCACGTCTAAAAACTCGTCCTGAGGAGATAAAGCACAAGAAAGATTTTGCATTTACTATGTTTCCTTTTTTTAAAGTATCATACAATTAACAGGTGAATTTAGGGCACTGAACACTGAGTTTTCCATTCAACATCTAAGATACTGTACTCGGAGCAGATGAAAGCAGCTCATGGCAGCATGCACCCCGGACTTCTCTGCTTCTGAGTTAAATCACAGAATCACAGAACCATAGAATCATTTGCTTGGAAAAGCCCTTTAAGCTCACCCAGCCCAACCGTTCCCCTAACCCTGCCATCCCACCACTAAACCCTGGCCCTAAGCACCTCGTCTGCCCGGCTTTTAAACCCCCAGGGAGGGATGGGGACCCCACCCCTTCCCTGGGCAGCCCCTTCTGCTTGGACACGCTACAGCGACCACTGCAGAGCAGAGCTCAGCCCTGGGCTTTTTGCAGACAGAAAGGCACGGCCATG